CGGAGCGGCGCACGGCGACGGGAGGCGGCGGGGCTGGCGTGCTGCGGGGCGCGGCGCGGCAGGGAGGCGGGGCTAGGCGGCGAAGGGCGCGAGGCGACGGAGCGGCGCGAGGAGAGAGAGGAGGGTCGGCGGCGGTGATGTGGCGAGGTGGGATTGGCCCGGGGCGGCGGCGCGGACATGTCTGGCTGGGGTTGGACGTGTCCGGCAGCGCGAGGATGAAGATAGCTAGGGTTTGACCGCGAATTTTGGAGAGGGGCACATATTTATAGGTAGAAGGAGGTGGGAGTGTCCAGATGAGGTGTAGTTTTCGCCCACACGATCGTGATCCTACGACGGAGGAGATGGAGATGATTTAGATGGGTTATTGGGCCATTTTGGAGGGGTGTTGAGCTGCAACACACAAGAGGCTTTTGCGGTTACCCGGTTAACCGTTGGAGCATCAAACGAACTCCAAATGGCACAAAATTTGACAGGCGGTCTACCAGTGATGTACCAAGGCCACTTGGCAAATCTCGGTCCATTCCGAGAATGTTTAACACCCGCTCACGAAAAGAGGCAAGAGGGGTGCGCCGGGTGCATGTAGGAGTGTCGAATTGCGAAACGGACAACGGAGGAAATGCTCGGATGCATGAGACGAACATGAATGCAAATGCGATGCACATGATGACATGATATGAAATGCATGACACGAACAAAATGCAAAACGAAGACAAAAACCCAACCACGAAGGGAATCTCATATCGCATCTCCGGAAAAGGCAAGAGTCGGAGTTACAAATATGGAAAGTTGTATCCGGGGCGTTACATGACCGCCTTGGGCCTCGTACACATGAGATGGAGGGCCAAGGCGCTAGTTGAGCAGGGAGGGAGGGAGGATGCTCAGCCTCATAGTTTACATCTTATGTTACATGAACGATCCTATCGAGCCCTTTGGCGCCGGCTCTTACCCAGAGTTCCGCCTCTTGTTTTATGTGCTCGACAAGCTTGTTGTAGGAGGGAGCAGCATTGTCGAAGAGAGCTGCGTTGCGATGCTTCCAAAGTGCCCAAGAGGTGAGGATGATGATGGAGTTGATCCCTTTGCGGAGGCAGGCTGGCGCGCTGGTCGTCGTTGCCATCCACCAGTCGAAGAAGCCGGAAGTGCCATCAGGGGGAAGGACGGGTATGCGGCACCATGCCATGATGTCGTGCCAAATGATGCGCGAGAAGACGCAACCGACGAGAAGGCGGTGCGGAGTCTCGCTGTCTTGGCTACACAGCTTGCAAATGGGGTCATGAGGAAGATTGTGGCGCGCTCTCCGGTCGGCGGTCCAGCATCTGTTGAGAGAGGCAAGCCAGAGGAAAATCTTCGCATTGGAAGGAGCCCAAGTCTTCCAGATGGGGCGCCAGAATGGCGCGGTGGTGGCGCCAATGAACAGTGCGTGGTAGGCTGATCGCGCGGAGTAGTTCCCATCGGCCGTCCATTTCCAGGAGAGCTTGTCGGGTTCGTTGGAGAGCTGGATAGCTTGGAGCAGCCTCCAAAGCTCGACATATTCAATGACCGCGCGGGGGTGTAAGACGCCGTGGATGTCGGGGATCCAGCCTATGTTGCTAAGAGCGTCGCTGACAAGGCGTTGGTTTTGGCGGCGCCACGGGATGAGGGCAGAAAGTGTAGGTGCATTCTCGGGGATGGAGCGCCCGTTGAGCCAGTGATCCTGCCAGAACTTGCAGGTGTTTCCATTGCCGATGGTCCAGGTCGTGGAAGCACGAAAGAGCACATAGGCCTCGTGATCGGACGGGAGGTGGAGATGTTTCTAGGAGCGGTCAGGGTCGGTGCGCTGCAACCATAGCCACCTGGTGCGGAGGGCGACGCCAGTACGGTGCAGATCGCGGATCCCTAGCCCACCAGGCGCGAGGGGACGGCACACCTTTTGCCACGAGACGGTGCAGCAACCAGCATGGGCAGCCTTGTTGCCATGCCAAAGGAAATCTCGAATGAGCATGTTGACCTCGAGGATCGCTGGGTGTAGTGCTAGCGCTAACGGGATATGCACAGGCATGGCGGTGAGTACGTGTTTGACTAGAGCAAGCCGCTAGCCACGCGACAGCAGAGAGGCTTTCCAGGTGGCGAGCTTCATGGTGAGCTTGTCGATGAGCGGAAGGAGGGCGGAGGCCGGCACTTTGCGAGTTGAGAGCGGTAGCCCGAGGTATTTGATGGGGAATTCCGCCATCGGGCAGGAGAGGGAGGCACCAATGGTGGCGAGGTGGTTGTCGCCACATCTGATGGGTGAAGCGGAACACTTGAGGAAGTTGGTTCGAAGACTCGAGGCGTTGCCAAAAGTGTCGAGCAGCATTCTGATGGCAGAGAGCTCATGGGCGTCAGGGTGGCAGAAGATGACCACGAGTTCTATTATAGGTAGGGGTACATAGTCTGGTGCAAAGTAGAGGTGAGGACCTTTATTTATAAGGCTTTGGGAAGCCTTCACATACTTCTACTTATAGCTGGAATACTCTAGAAAATATTATGTAAGTTTCATCATTCTACTCATAGCTACTCACAACTACTCCTTCCGTTTCTAAAGACAAATATTTAAGAACGGAGGGAGTAAAAGACTCTAGAAAACAGTAGGTAGGATAGAAAAGAAAAGGAAAGAAATACTACACTAGAGTGAAAGCATCTAGAAATGGCCAAACAGATCTAGCATATGTTTTCTTTCTTCTCATCTACTAGTGTTTCTCATCAGCCGGCCGACTGCAGCACACAGGGAGGACGGCGGGGTCACGGGCGGAGCTCACTCGAGAGCGGACGGAGTTTTGTGAATTGTTGTGGTGGAGTTTTCTGTTAAGAATTTGAATATGAGGAGTTTTTGGTAAAAATGGCCATTGTATAGTCTCGTCAATTAATTTGAGCCGAAGGGAGCAGTATTTATTTATTAAAGCTACTTATATATGCACCTATGGAAAAGCATTAAGCAATTGATGCTAAAACAAATAAGCACATTGTCAAGCATATGGCTTGATTAGTCGAAGCTCAATACAGCTTCATAAAGAGTGATCTCGAACTTCCATTCTGCTGGATGAGAGCGCACGCGGTGTTCAGCTTCAGGCCTGCAGTTACCAAAACCATTTCAAAAAAAAAAATTGCAAGAAAATAGCCAATAGCACAAGCATATAAAAGACTGCAGAAATAAGCAGGCCTAAACAGACCATGTTCAGCACCATGTATACATACATAGATTAATAGATAGTGCAAGTGTGCAACTCACAAATCATCCAGCTAAACTGAACAAGAAATGTTCCTTTTATTATGTCCCCCTTTCCTCCTAAATTTTTCCTACCTACCTAAACTCACTGAAGAGTCATTGATAATATGCAAACGAAGATGCATTTTCAGAACAAAAATGCATGTACAGCTTGTACTTAAAACTTTCTGATTTTGATGGATAACCATCTAGCTTACTCCAAAAAATCAGCGATTAATGCTGGTAATCTGATTCTTCTGTTTGAACAGAGAACTGCAAGCCCTAGGAACAATCACCACTCCTCAAACTTGTCAGCAGCTTCAGGTACCCATTACAGTCTGGGTTTATGTACCTGGACGAAAGATCACCATGTCAACAGCTGAGAAGATTTGTTCTTGAAATTGCACCACTAGGGGAATAATGCATATACTACCCATGACGGAAGAGGAAGTCAATGATCACAAGGTTGCAGTTTGACTTGAAAAAATCTGTCCTCCGTATAATGTTTGCAGCATGTGGTACAGGGATTAGCCTGAAGCTATCAACTTCTCCATCTGCAAGATATTTTGGCAGCACACTGGTTAACGAATGGGAAAACAGCATATTAGCATTAATGTTTTAGTTGTGTGTACCTTCATTATTAGGAACGAAATCTACAGGAAGTCTAAGGTCATAGCAGAACAGAACATCCCTTTTGTATCTAAACCCATTGATATCCATGTAAGAAACGGCTCCAACAGAAGTAGCGCTAGCAAAACAAAACATTGGTACTTATGAGTGCAGTTGTTCGCATTGCAAAACATTCATGTATCACAGTACAGAAAAACTAGAACTTCTAACAGCAGTTTGCATGTTACTTGGTTGACATGGATCTTGGTATTCCTGCTTCCTCTTCACATTCCTTGATGATATTCTCTTTACAGGAGATTCCGTAAGGCTGAAAATTTCCATATGTAGTCAACGTAAGTTAACAGCTATACAGTTTCACGTGAAAATCAAAAGGGTACTGTGCATCACTTCTGTAACCGATGGATTTGAGCCTGCCAGTCGAATCCATAACCTGCATTTCCATGAAAAATTATAATTCCAAAGGTCACCATTTTAAGCAGCCTAATTTTCTAAATATGAAGTCACCTGGCTTGACTAATATGGGGGCGCTAAGGACATTGTTCACCAGATGATTTTATAGGAAAAAAGATAACCCCAGCAAGACTGGATTTAGTCTTTCAATAATAATTACTTTATTAAGACTAAGATAGATTGAATAGGTACCTGAAAAATCCAAATAATTTAATCATTCTGATTCAAGCAATTGGCCAGTGACAGTCTACAGGCTATAGGTCTTACGAGGAGCATTCAGCATTATCTTCATAACATGTCCAGAACTGGTGGAAATCTCTAGGCAATTATAAAAATGGGAAGTATTTATACATATTATTAGAGAGTAGATATTCTGAAATAGGAGTTTCAAGATTGTCATCTAATGCATATAAGATTCCAGCAACTACTGTTACCCATCTTCAATTGAAGCGCTAATGAAGTACAAAAGGACTTGAACAGAAAATAGAGGAAAGAAGAACGATACCAGGCCACCAGCAACAAGATGATCTAGCATCCCAGGGTAAGTTTGCTTCTCATCACTTCTCTTACCAATCCAAAGAGATTTTTCACCACGCTTCTCAATGTACCCATTCATATGAACACCATAAGCCTGCCATGAGGATCTTAAACTTAAAGATAAAAGAGAAGGCTGCTTAGGTACATAGCTAATAAGAATCAGGAAACTTATAGCATAGACGAGAGGATCGATGATGGGTAACTTTAGAGGTGCAGAATACCAGACCTTTATACCAAAGTAGGGAGCAGCAGCACGTTCCAGAGAGAAATACACAGGCATGCCGTAAGATGAGGTTACTGGATAGAGCTGCATATTGCAAAATATTGCCAGACAAGCAAAACAAAGAGAAAATGTGGACGTAAGGTTAATTTGATAGGTAATAAAAAGTTAAAAACAGCCTTGCATATAGTATCAAGATTCAGAAGATAGATACAAAACTCCAAACTATAACATGAAAAACCCACAGCAGCGCATGGGAAAAAATGTGAAGAGAACAATCGTGATAAAGAATGAGCGGGGAACAGAATGGTGTAGTGTCCCACAATATTATTATCACATACGATGTTACGACCACTTCCCCTTCGTGGAGAAAGCTCGAACAGGTAAAAAATATGTATCATTACAAGAGAAACTAAACACTAAGAAAACCTTCTCGAATGGTCAGACGTAGATGATAGAAGGATCTACTACTGACATAACCCTAACTAATGAAAAGTAGATAAAAGTAAATGATGATATTCTTCTCTGCTTCATTGAGAGGGGCTACCAGTTGTGGAGCTACCTTGGTTGTAGTCGTCAGTCTCGATGAAGAAGTGCTGCGCGCACCGGTGACCACAAACATAAATCTCGTTGCAGTTGAAGCAAAGGTCCTGGCAACGACGTTCTGCCAACCCAGCTGGAGTGAGATGCCAAACCTGTTGTGCCGGGGTTGGCTATGGAGTAATCGACTACAGAATAGGTGCTAGTGGCCCTGGCAGGGAAGGTATTGTAGCTGCCTTGGCAACAGGAGAATCGGAGAGGCACAGGGACACTGTAGGCCCAGAAGGCTGGTGTGGTCACGCTGTTGGAGGGAAATGCTGCTGCTCATAGGCCTTGGCGAAGGAGATGGCGGTGTAGAAGTCAGATGGTCGTTGAAGCTCGACGTCGATGCGAAGACCATCAGGCAGCCCTGCTATGTACAGAAACCGTCGTTGGAACGGTGTTAATGGCTCATTATTGTGGCACATGAGCGCTAGAAACCTGATGGTGTAGTCTGCAACCAAGGAAGTGAACGACAGACGCCAACTTGCCCTAGGGATTTGCGCGAAGTGACGGCCCAAATTGAACATGGCAAGCCTCCTTGAACTGCTCCCATCTCGGCATGCCAAAATCGCGCTCATAAGTACTAGAGTTGAGAGTCATTGGTGAGGTTGTAGGCCGCAGTCCAGATGTTGTTTGCCTCGTCTATGTGTTGTCCACGAAAAAACTGGCTCGCACCTATTGAGCCAACCAAGAGGATCGACCAAGCCATCATATGTTGGGAAGTCGAGCTTGTGGAAGCGGGGCACGCCGGAACCCAAACCTGAGCCGAGGTGATGGTTAGGCAGGTGCAGAAGGGAGGTGATGGGTAGGGTGGATCCATAGATGCGCTGTGGTCTGTGAAGGCTGCCATAACGACGTATGAAATCGGTTGGCATGTGGAGGCGTGAAGGCGGTGACGATCTGCGGCTATTGCTGATGGTAGGTGGATGGCAAAATTGGAAGGGATTTGGGGTGGGATTTGAGTAGTAATGTGGGTGTGAGAAGTGGCCCAGATTGTTGTTAGGGAGTAGCTGCAGCGAGTAAGGAGATGGCTGGAGGTAGTAAAAGGGGGATGGCGGCTAGTGGTGGTTGGCAGGAATCGGCACATGGTTGTGGTGCGATGGCAGGTAGGCGGCGAAGGCGGGAAAGTGAGGGGCACTTTGCCGCCTTCGCCGCCTACCTGTCCATCCATGAGTTGGAAGTCCCGCAACAACAAAGAGAGGTAGAAATCCAGGAGATCCAACTCACGGATGGACAGGACGAGCGGTTCTTGCTCCATGGACTGAAGTACTCTCCAAAGCCTGCTTATAAGATTATGCTACATGAAGATCTCGAGGATGACCACGCTGATTTAATCTGGAGGTCCCGAGCCCCGGACAAGATCATCAAACTGTTTGCTTGGCTGTTGTTTCGCGGGCGCCTCAACACCCATGCAAACCTGGCTTACAAGCACATGTCGGATACCGCCTCCTGCCCACGATGTGCTGGCCCCTCTGAAGACACAGGCCACCTGTTCATTGGCTGCCCGCATACAGCTCAGATTTGGGTCCAACTTGGACTCTCTACCACCCCAAGGTTCCAAGATTTATGGTTGGCTCATCCGCCGCAACAGCTAGACTCCAGAATCTGGCCAGAAGTGCTCCTTGTTATTCTCTGGAAGATCTGGGGACTCTTGTAACGTCGATGTCTTCCAATCTGAAGATCACTCTCCCCGCACAACCATTCAGAACATTGTAACTGACATCGAGTTATACTCGCATCGCTTTAGAGACCCTGCAGACAAGGTGGCTGCTATGTAATCTGTGACTACTTTCGCCCCATTTGGCC